CGCGCCGCTCCCTGGGGCCGCGGCCTGCTCGGGGGTGCCTGAGGCCTCGGCCCCCGCGGAGGCGGCCCTGGGAGCAGGGCGTCCCCAGCTCACCTGACAGGCTGAAGTTGGACTGGTGGAGGTTCCTGATGGGCGGAGGCTGGTGTTTGGAAGGCGAGGATTTGGCTGAGGGCGCAGGCGTCGCGTACTTGGGGGTGGCCGGGACCTCGTACACGGGGCCGTCGTACATGCCCCTGGGCACCCCGTGCAGGCCGTGGACCTAAGGAGAGGCGGCGCTGACCAGAGCAAGGCCCGCCCTGGCCCCGGGGCTGACGTCGCCGGGGGAATCGCGCAGGCGCGCAGGGTCTCGGCAGCTGACCCACAGGACCCAAGGGGCGACGCCTCCCGGACGCCCCTGCCCCCTCCAGACCGCGGCCGCGGCTGAGCCCTGGTCTCGCGGGAGCTGACCCGAGACAAGAGCGCGGGCAGGCGCAGGTGATTCCAGAGAGGGGGCCGTCGCGCCCACCTCTGAAGCTGGCCGAGCAGCCGGGGTCAGCAGGGCAGGGCGGGGCCTCAGGAGGGCAGCCCAGAGGGAGGGGCGCTGGAGGCCGCAGGGTGGGAGGCCTGCCGAACCGCTGCTCAGCAGATGAGCTCAGGGGGAGGCAGGGTGGGGTCCCGCAGGGACAAGCTTCAGGGACTAACACTCTTCACCAAAAAGAGGCAGCAGTGGTCACGCCAAGGGAAGGTGGAGAGAGGAGAGAGAGGGAGGGAGAGGGGAGGACAGGCGCCCACCCGCTGACCCCTTGCTACTCAGTGCCGGGGGGCGCTCCGACCCTGAGCACGAGCCCACCAGTTCTGCGCTCTACCTGCCCTGCGGCCGTGCTGCATCCTAGCAGCACAAGCCCGGATTCTGCTGCAGAAGGAGACCAGGACACCTCAAATACGGGATGGGGTGATGCAGGACACGCACCCGGGAGCAGCTGGGTCACCGTGGCCCCAGCACCCGCCCCCCCAACACGTGCACACCCACTTACAGGGTCCCAAGCCCTGGGATCCCGCGGTTTTGTCTGATCCCCGCTCCCGCCCCAAGACAGAGGCGAGGCAGCGCCATAGCTCATCTGACACTTAGAGAGGGGCTGGCACGGCGGGGACACCTGCCCCCAGCACTGCACGGGGCGGCCGGCACCCACACACCTTGCTCCGGATCCTGACGCGCTGGTAGAGGTGTTCAGGGAAGGGCTTCCTGGGGATGAAGCGGCCCATGCCCTTGTTGACGTTGATGTTGCCGTCCTCAAAGACGATCTTGCCCTGGCTGATGACCACCAGTGGGGAGCCGTGGCACTCCATGCCTTCGAAGATGTTGTACTCCACAGCCTGCAGGGCAAGCGCCAGGGCTGAGCCTGCATCCTCAGGCTCCACTCCTAGCAGGACACTTCCTTTTCTCCCTGGAACCACCTTCTTCGGGGCTGTGTAATATTCCGCGATGGGCTATAGCATTTGCATAACCAAGCCTTCTCACTGTTGGGCGTTCACTGAGGTCAGGAGGCTTCACATAATCAGACTACTATTGCTGGCAGGGTGGGGGGGCATTGTGAATATGAATACGGATGATGCAGTAGGGTGCAAACTCTAGTGGCCATTTCTGTGTCTTACATTTCTTGATGTCTTAAATTGCTAAATTGCTGAGTCAAAAGAGATACGATTTCACGACCAGGAAATACCCTCCTGCACTGGGTAAGGCCTTTTTTTTTTTTTTGGCTTTCAAATTTTTCACTAATTTGAAAGACAAAAATAGTTGCTTAAAAATACACATTTCTGGCCCTCCCTGGTGGCGCAGCAGGTTAAAGCACAGCGCTGAGAAGCTAAAGCCACTTCCACATGAGTTCAATTCCTGCCTGTCCCAGAGGTGACCACAT